GGTGGGGGGGGGTTGGGGGGTCCTGTGTGGGATCTATAGGGGACACTGAGGGTCTGTAGGGGCTCTGTGGGGGGGTTAAAGGGATTTGGGGAGGTTTGGGGGCCCTATATGGGATCTGTGGGGGGTTTGGGGGGGATCTATAGGGGACATAGGGTTCTAAGGCGGTTTTATGGGATCTATAGGGTACTTTAGAGCTCTATAGGGGAGTTGGTGACATTTGGGGGTGGTCTAGGGGTCCTATAGGGGCTCCATAGGGGGGGTTGATGACATTTGAGGGTCTATAGGGGGCTTTGGGGGGGCTTAGGGGTTCTATAGGGGACACTGGGGGTCTATTGGGGGATTTGGGAGGGGTTTAGGGGTCCTATAGGGGCTCCCTAGGGGGGTTTGGTGGCATTTGGGGCCCTATGGGGGACATTGGAGGTCTATAGGGGACGTGGGGGCTCTATAGGGGCTCTGTAGGTGCCGCCCAGCCCCTCCTGGGGCTCCTTTGGGGAGGGGGGAAATCTTTGAGATCCTATAGGGGATCCATAGGGGATCCATGAGGGATTCCCTGGGGGTCTGTAGGGGATTCCCTGGGGGATCCACAGGGATCCATAGGGGATTCCATAGGTGACCCGTAGAGGATTCCATGGGGATCTGTGGGGAATTCCATAGGGATCTCTCTGTAATTCCATAGGGGATCCATGGGTGATTCCATAGGGGATTCCACAGGGCATCCCGTGGGTGTCTGTATGGGATCCATAGGGGATCCATGGGTGATTCCACGGGGGACTCACGGGGGGTGCGTGGGGAATCCATAGGGGTCCCATCGATGATCTGTGGGGGATCCACAGGTGGTTCCATAGGGGATCCATAGGGGATCCACGGGCCCTGTTCCCCAGCGGGGGGCGCTGTCCCGTGCGCTGCCCCCGGGGCCGAGGCCACAGCAAGGCCGGGGTCACCTACGGCCGGGGCCGTATGGATCCTATAGGGGACCCTGCCCTAGAGGGGACCCTGCGGGGGATCCGCCACGGCCCCGGCACACGCCGGCCCCTACACACCCTATAGGGCATGCTGTGCATCCCATCTACATTGTATAGATTCTATAGGGGAGTCTCTGCATTCTGTGGGGGATCCTGTGCATCCTATAGGGGATTCTGTGCATTGTATGGATCCTGTAAGGAATCCTTTGCGTCTTATAGGGTGTTATCTACGTTATATCAATTCTATAGGGGAGTCTGTGCAACCTGTAAGGGTTCTTCTGCGTTGTATAGATTTACGGGGGATCCTTTGCATCCTATAGGGGATCCTCTGCATGGTGTGGATCCTATAGGGGATTCTGTGCATCTTACTGAGGGTTTTCTACATAGTACAGATCCTATAGGGGGTCTTGTGCATCCTGTATGGGATCTTCTGCATTGTATGGATTCTATAGGGGATCCTCTGTGTCCTATGGGGGATTATCTGCATTATATAGGTTCTATGGGGCATCCTGTGCATTGTATAGATTCTATAGGGGCTCCTCTGTATCTTACAGATCCTATAGGGGATCCACCTTGGCCCTGGCACACGCTGGCCCCTACACACCCTATAGAGCCTATAGGTGTCACCCTGATTTTTTCTTAAGTTTTTCTAAGTTTTCCGACGTTTCCGTTCTCGTAACGAAATTTCTCACGCGCCTTACGCGAACAATTTATCGTTTTGCGTTTTTTTGTGAAGGAAATTCGGTGGATTTGGTTCGTCCGGCGGCGCCGGGGAGGCGGCGCCGGCGCCGGCCAATCCGCTGTCGCGTTTGGGAATCCGTAAACGCCAAGGTCCGAAATAAAAAAGTGTTTTTATTGCCTCGGGTAAACGGCGTGTCCGCGTGGCGTTGTTTGGTCCTATAGGGGATCCTATGGGGGATCCTATGGGGGATCCTGTGGGGGATCCTATAGGGGATCCTATAGGGGAGCGTGTAGGGGATCCTATGGGGGATCCTGTGGGGGATCCTATAGGGGATCCTATAGGGGAGCGTGTAGGGGATCCTATGGGGGATCCCGCACGTCCTGTGGGGGCTCTTGTACATCCCCCACCCCCCGCTTTGAGGGATCCTATAGGGGATCCTATAGGGGAGCATGTAGGGGATCCTATAGGGGAGCGTGTAG